TTTTATGGGGCATACCATACTAAGCTATTAAAATAATGATTGACAGTTTCACGTTCACGATCGTCATGTTCATTTCTGAGCTGGACAATATTTACAAGCTTGAAAAGTTACAAAACATTACACTGTGGCTACAAGACTGTCCACACAATTGAAATAATAATAGTTAACTGGCCAATATATTTTAATTATATCTAACTGTTAGCTGACAGTTTACCTCTCTGTGATGGATAAGTGCTGAGCAATGATTTAGCGTTAGCTAGCTCACATGATTGCACAAGGATTCATGGGTAACAGTTAGCATGTCATTAGTGATGTGTGCTGTGACTTATGGGGTTTTATTTGTTTGTTTTGTTTTTGATGAACAGGCTAATTAATCTTTGCTAATATTATGTTGGATTCATGTGTATGTGTTTTTACAGACATATTTTAAACTTTGAAAAACTTTATTTTAAAACTTAAATTACCAAACAATGACTTGGTGGCCCCTCTGCGTAACTGTGATGGACCCCTTGTTGAAGACATACAGCATCACAGACAAATTTAATGTGATTTTGGTCATGTGTTAATGATAATGCTTCTATCCTTGTATCTCATACTTTGTACATTTTTTTGTCTCTACAGTTCAGTGCTAATGCAATTAAAAACAGCCTGTATAAACTTGTTTGGTGAAGCCCTTCCCAGGCTAATTTGTTGACATCTGTTTGCTTGGGGTTGTTTTCATTAGCGTATGAAGAACAGTAAGAGCAGCAACAAGTATGAAGGCTGGCCTGAATCTCTGGAGATGGATGGGTGTATTCCTCTGCGGCCTCCCCTGGAGGGATAGCTCCTCCTGATTCTCTCCCACGTACAGTACAGTACAGCAGAACCTGGAGTGGCAGCAGTGGATCCAAATGACTGTTTGTTTAAAGAAAAGCCTGGGAACTGCTGAATGACTGAAACCATCCAAGATCTGGACCACAAACAGCATGTCATTTCCCCTCTGGTGGCAGAGGCATGAGTCGACTGCAAAGATTGTCCCTGGACTTGATATATTTAAAATTGCTGGAACTCGTTATAGATGATTTGTGCATTAAGCTTTGTGAGCCAATTATGAGTTGAAGTAATGTTGTAGAAACAAGGAAAATGTTTGTGTCGGGTTAAGGGAAACTAGAGGGGCTGAATGTTTGACGACCAAAGTGTAAAGGCGACATGTGAATGAATGCAGCTGGAGTAGGTCTTCCAAAGCCATTATAGGAAATGGGCATATTTCCTCTCTGCAAGTCTGTCTGTAGGGGTGTCAATATCCTGTGCACGATATTTGATGTTCGGCAGGCATAAAACACACCTAACTGGTTTCACACTAAGGCATTTGGAAACCTAATCCACGTCAGCATAAGAAAAACATTTGAGGTACACTAGTAGTTTAATTGTCCTATGAAGCACCGGGTCTGCAGACAGATTTTATATTTAAATCGGTTAATATATTTTCATCCTGTGATACATATTTCAGTGATATTGTTATGCCTAGTGTTAGCTGCCATTGTTTCCTTAGAACTTGATGCACTGCAGTTATTGCTTGGCACATGTTTACAGATTTCTTCAGGCAACCTTGGCCTAGGTCATTTTCCTCTGATAAAACTATTTATTTTAATACTTTGTTAGTAAAAAAAAAAGATTCCTAGTGTGGGTTCATCATAACAGCACCCATGGTTTTAATGTGTCTCAGGCCTGCAGGCATCTTTAAACTGAGCGCTTTATTTAAAGATTCAACCTAAATGTGTGGAAGTGTATGTTGTTTTTTTTTAATGTTTATTGTATCCACCTGGAAACTTGCAAGCCTAACGATGAAGGAAATGTGTAGAAAAAAAAAATACTATATTACATGTATGGTTAGAAGTTCATTTTAGCTGCCATTGTCTGAATTATGTTACCTCTAAGTGTAAAGATTTTTCTACAAAGCATCACAGTCTGTCTTATATTGTGACAACAATGCTGATGAATTAAACGGTCTGAATATTTATTGTGTGTGTTTTTCCTCCTGAGGGGTCTTGAATCAACTGGCATACTTGAAGAAATTCACCAGAGGGCGACAAAAGTCAAGTCTCGCTGGGTTCATTCAGTTCATCCTGCTCAAGGCATTGGCTTCACTGAGCATATGGTGGTGATAAACACTGTGGGTTAAATGTAGAGCATTTCAGGTTTGACGGTTAATTCAGTGACAGCACAGAATCGTGTTGCACGTTGTATTTATCGGCTGTAACGCAGTAATATAATAAAAACACGATCAAGTTAATTGTTCCATTGAGATGTGTTGTGGTGCCTTTCAGTGTCGGTAGAAAAATCGGGATTTCGAGTTGCGTATTTATGAATGATTTCGGTGCTCTCATGGACTGGGTTATTATGTGACGTTTAAATGAAGTGGAAGAGACCAGGAGCATAATGTAGATTAACGCTGAGATTACTACATCGTATTATCCTGCATTACCATTGAGGCCACTCGTTGTTTTTTTTTGCTGTCTTCATTTAAATATGGTGCGCATTATTTATTGTATCTTGGGAATTTAAGTGGCACAACAGAAAAACTTAAATCATTAATAGATAATAAGAATTCAGTAAAAAAACTGAGGTACAAAATAGTCTCTTGTCAGAGGAGAGGAAAAAATACATGTTCATACAAATTCTAAAACGCAAATAGTAAATAAATATTACACAGGCTACTTCAGTTAAATCTTTGGTGTCTGCACTTAAATTAAATGCTTCCATTTTATGCTCCTTTACACTTCTACTGCCCTACATTATTACAATATTGCACTTTTTAAACTCACTGACAGCCGCAGTTACTGGCTGTTATTTTAAATTAGGACAAAATACACCATAACTAGCTTAGAGAATATGATGCATAGTTACAGAACAAACCACAGTACATAGAATAGTTAAGATTAGCTCCATCTCAACCAACAATATATCAACATGATACTTCCACATTAATACATTGGTGATAATAACATCATTTGATATATAGGCTGATAGAGTAACACTTACAGGGGTCATTCTTTGCATTGTTTACTTTTACTTTTGACACTTTAAATACATTTGTTCTCTTATATAATTTTACTTATACAACAGTTAGTTCCGGACTTAAGTACAATTTTACAATTGTAATACTGTGTTTTTACATTGCAGTAATACTACATTTACTTTAGGTTGTACGCATTCCACCAGTGATGCTCACATAAAGGCCTACACATACAGACATCTAAACCTAGTATTCAGCAAGGTATTTTCCTTACTACATACATTAATAGTGTCTAGATTCATATGATCATTTATCTTTCTGATCTGTCAAATAAAATCAATGTGTTTCGATATATACCCGTATTGTCGATAACCATATTGCGATAATATCATAATCATTAACTCTTTTAGCCATGATAATTGTTCATGAAAAATCTGTTATTGTGCCAGCCCTGGTAACAATCAGAGGTGGAATAATTACTTAGATCTTTGTAGCAATACCAACATGTAAAATTATCAGTTACAAGTATAAGTGCCACATTCACAATCTAACTTAAGTAAAAGTAAAAAAGTAATATCATCAAAATATACTTTAAGTACTAAAAGTACTTATTATGCAGAATGGACCATATGTCCATTGTGTTCATCAATTTAATTTAAAGGGGGTAAATCTGGGGTTAATTTTAAATACTTCAAGCACTGCTGGACAACTAACTTTATAATAATACATCATAATTAATACTTGGATTTGTGTTTTGTATTGTAGATCCCAATCTGCAAAGCAACTAAAGCTGTCAGATAAATATAGTGGAGTAAAAAGTACAATATTTCTCTGGAGTAGAAGTATACATTCACATTAAGTGGAAATACTTAAGTACAGGTACCTCAACATTCTATTAAAGTAAGGTAAGGTGGGGGGAGGATGCCCCCCTCAAGAAGTCAATTTACTATAAATTTTAAATATTTGGATATGATTTTAGCATGTAGATGTTGCATAAATAAATACACTGCTGGGAGAAATAAATTAGTTGAGTAGCCAATGTTGTTGTTGTTATAACACAAAATTAGCATCTTGTAAAGCTACAAAAAAGCCATCTTACAAAACAAAACAAACAAACTAAAATCCATAAAATCCAAGACCATTAATGGATTATCTAGAATCCTAGTCTTTCTTTCAGGCTTATTGTTTTTATTTCAGGATGTCTTCCTCTGGGAAGCTTGCAAAAAATGTTGGCTAATCGATAGCTAACAATGCTAATGGTTGCTAGCTAGCTGATAATGATAGCAAGCTGAAAACTGCAATACTGTACTTCTACAATTAGAAGACATTACCCACATAAAGTCACATATGACTAAATACCAGATGATTTAACTGAACAGTAATTTGAGGCAGGATGCTCCTGGGGATATTTGCTTCCTTTCTAAGGTGGGCCTCTTGCCCCAAATGGTCTAACTACGTTTTTACTTTAAAGGAGAAAAATCATTTTTCTTTTTTGAATTAATGACTCTCCCCGCAAACCCCCCATCATCATATATTTACCAAAGCCCTTTATGTAAAACTTAATATAAATCCATAAATCAATATTTTCTAGTGACAAAAACTGGATCAGTTTACTATAAAGTGGCTCTGGTCGAATAAATCTCAAGAGTGCAGATGAAATGTCACCATTCACTTTATCATAGACATTCAATACATGTGTTGAGAGCAGACTTAGTGCCATTTATTGGGCGTATCTAACACCATCGTACCCAACAGTACTTGAGTAATGTGCTTGGTAACAATCCACCACTACTAGCGAAAAAGTGCAATAAAATCTTTTACAGGCTCGTTAGAAAAACGGTTGAACGCTGGTTAAGGAGTATGAAACTTACGAGGCGCATTTGAACGCAGCATTAAAGTCACATCACCAGCCGTTGGCACACAAACACGCGGCAGCATTGCCCTCTCGTGGCGGAGTGATCTAACTGTCGGATTTGCTCGTGCTCGGGATGATGAGGAGCCCTGTAGCAAGTGTGAACAGGCAGGCAGCGCGCGCTCAGTACACACGCGAACCTGCTGAAGGCCGTTGGAGTCGTGCGTTGTAAATTATGTACATAAGTTACTGATATTATTCGGGTACACATGAATGGCAGGCAGCGCAACTTGGAGCCATTACACCGAGCAGCGAGTGTGAAAATGTGTAAACCAACGGCCAACATCGTCTGAACTGGAACACGTAACACCAAGTGCTCTCTGCCCGTCTCTCACACAGACCGAGGCTCGACGACTCCGGTGGGGATTTTCAAGCCGACAAGACCGCAGCAAAGCGTATCAGATGTAAAGAGAAAAAAACAACAACGGAACCGCGAATTTTTATTCTTAAGCTTCTTTTTTTGTAAATGTATTTTTTCAGTGGGTGTAAAAAATAATTTTGTAGGCAGGAAAGCCCCGTGTAAATCTCGTGAAATAACGTTTGTAAAAAGATATAGGAATAATAAGAAATCCAGTGAGTTAGCTAGCTATCTGTGCTGAGCTGCTCGTTTTTAAAATAAACACACCGCTGGACAGACGAGCTATGATGATGTTGAATTCAGGTGAGTGATGTTTGTTGTTATTTTCAATTACAAATAGAAATTTTCGTTATCCCAAGACTGTGGCCCCCTAGTGAGGCATTAATATTATTGTGTACAGTCTGTTTAAGCACCACTAGATTGCTGATCAGGTATGCGTCTTCTCTTATGGCTGCTTGTTATTCTGAATTAAATTATGCTGTGTAAATACACTCAAGTCAAGTGCAGGTCTGCGGGCAGACTAACTGACAGGCCCTCAGACAGCAAATGTTTAGCCCATCATTTAAATGATGTGCCTGTGCTCAGGGGCACCAAAGGCCAGGAGGTTTGGGGATTTTTGATGTGTGGTGGTGTCAGTCACTGTGCTCTTGTCCTGTATGGTGACTGCACTTTGTGTTTTTTAGCGTTTGCATGGCGTTTCTGAAGTCAGCTGAGCTACCAGCTAGCCAATAGCTGCACTTCATGGTGCCTGCACATCTTGGCATCACTGTGTCATATATGCTGTAGCCTATAAATAACATGCATTAATTGCATTTTGCTCCAGAGCCAGTGACTACTGCACAACCAGGCGCATCATGGGTTATCTGCTTGAAGTAATTTCCACAATATGGGTGTTAGAAATTCAAATCATCGTGCATGTTTCTTGTATGTAGAAGAAATACACAAATTATATTCTATATGGTGGCAATAAATTATGTATAACATGAAGCATGCCCTCCTCAACTCCTCCTGTATTGACATTGTATTGATATGTATGAAAACATTGCATCTGCTAGTACCCACTGGGAGTGATAGTGATGTACTCAACACATTAGGGAGGATGCTTCCTCTGCTTAAGAAGGCTGACAGCCGCTAAATACTGAAATCAACACTTTGCTGATCTCTGAGTACTCCCATCATCCATCAGACTTCAGAGACCATTTGCAGGAGTAACTCAGCCTCAGTTGTTGATATGAGCTGCAGGAGTAGTAAGCTACTTTAGTAACATGTAATCCCAATTCATCATTGGCTGATTAGGGAGCCGTTCTCTCACCTGGATTAGAGGAATCCTTTGGTATGGGATGGTTGTGCTCGCTGAGGGGAATGAAAGAGAACAAAAAGGGGGGGTTAGATAACACATATTCACTCTGTCTCTCTCCCTCAGTGAACAGTGCTCTGTGTGTGCTACCTACACTCCACTCTCCCATGCTTGACCTGGATTGGACAAAAGTCCTTGTTGTGTTTTCAGCCTTGAGTTTCCCTAATGGGAAGAGAACAATCATTGTGCGTTTGATTCTAGTGGCCAGCATTGGATATTTTCCATCAGATTTCAAAACGCCGCCCATAGACAGAAGATGCACAGGGACGCAACATGTGCCAAACCAACTCGTGCTGTAATTGAGTAGGAGGAGTAGTCAGAGCAAGTTTAATGATCTTTTATTGCACAATAGCACATACACTGTAGATGAATAGTGATTTTTTGTGGGTAATTATTAAGATCTGTTTATTAAGACATCAGCCTGTGGGTTCAAATTGTCGTGTTCTCTTTTCCTTGGCTGTGTATACTGCATGGTGCTTGTCCCGAACATTGTAATTAATTGTATTTGTAACACACAGTCACAGTTTGAGGCAGCTTCCTGTTTTTATATGTGACAGCAGCACAGGCAGAGTCGGCTCTTTGAAGGTTTACACCTGCCACTTACAATAATGCATCCTGGTGTGACTTTATGACAGAAGTCGAGCCTGTTAGACATGGCCTCACTGAACAAACATTGCCTTTGTTTTTACCTGCCATTGTGATCAACAGCTGAGCTGCAGAGTTCAGATGTAGACCTGTGATCTTCAGAACATTTGCTGCTTGACATGGAGCCCATTTGAACTTTGGCCAGCAGCTTTCAGACCTTGTGCTGCCTCTGCCTCGTCTCCTCGCATCACTCAGTCTCTGTCTCCACTTTAAATCTCTGTGGGACTAATACTAAATCTGAAAATGATAGGAAAGATTCAAGTGTTGCATTAATTATACGTTGAAAATTTATTATTACAGGCAGGTATTGGTTTGGATTTGATCTATGTACTCCAGTCGAGTGTATCCGCTAAATGTTCCCACTCATTCTGACTGCCTACTTGGTATAACAAAGCTTGCTCAGTCTAGTAATCAACAATGGGATTATATGCAAACAAGAGCCAGCAGTTGATGAAGGAACCTCACTAAAAGATTGCAACACATACTGATGATACCCACATGCTCTCATAATTTTACTCCTTAATTACACCTGATAACACACCTGCACTCACTGATGATACCAACAGTCAGTTTGAAATTTAACTTAAAAAGTCATTTCAGTGGGGTCACCCCAATTTCCAGACCTCCGGCTCCACCTGACCAATGACGAATTATTATTTTTAGGGGTGGAAGTCACCAGAAGCCCCACAATATGATATTATCACTGTATTTAAATCGTGATAAAAATGTATTAAGTTATAAGTTTTTCACTGCGATATATATTGCGATTTATTACTTTTTCAACTGCAAATTAAGTCTCCAAAGTTTCCAAAGTTACTGTAAAACTTAAATTAAAAGCCTAGTCCCAAATGACTCTACGCTAACTCCCACCCCGGATTGCAGACTGGCCAATCATAGTGTAGCACTGGGACAGGTCAGACCAGGAAGAACACAGCTGTGCTCCATAGACTCTAATGCAATTAGGCTATATTCGATTTCCTTCATTTTCAGGCTGGTTTTGTGGATTTGGAGCTAAATGTTGTGCCTGGGGCACGTCGTGTATTAATGATACTCGTTACCTGGAGAGGTTGGAAAATGATATAAGTTTCTTCCCTGTTCCAAAACCAAAATCAAACCCTGAAAAGTGTAGGGTTAGCTAGCTAGCTACTGAAGATATAACCTACTGAATGTATACACATGCTGCTTTTGCTTTTTAATGATTATAACAGTGAAAAAAAAGACCGACCCTGCAGTACAGGAACCAGTGAAGGGAAGCAGGGAAACTTTGCTGATATTAAAACAGCTGTGTGGCATCACAATGTGTGCAGAAGAACAGTGTGCGACTTCCGGACAGTCTAGCGGTGGAGGTTCGATCAATGGTGGTGGCACGGGGGAGAAGCCGAAGTGTTCATCAAAGCGTTCATCTGCTATCAGTTTTCCTTTATATTCATTGTCTTCTGTGGTGATCAGCAGTGATATGGTGGTTCACTTTTACACTATGATCTGTAGCCTATAGTTCAGCTTTAGCTTCTAACTATCTTTGTCTTTTTAATCTGTTTTTGCTGCTGAGTTTGACGTCTTGGCTATATCCTTTAAACATATGTTGTAGACCTCTCTGTCTGCTTCTCTCTGGAATCGTGCTTTCGTTTTTCCAAAAATGTGCTAATATTTCATCAGGGAGTGCAGTTAGTTACAGAGGTTTTACAGTTTTACCACAAAGTATGACTTTCTTGACCTTAAAATTTCTGTTTTAAATTCATTAACGACATATTTGGATTTCATGTCACTCTATTAGACACCTGGTCTGGTTGCCAAGCAATCCTTTTTTTAAAGAAGTTCTTTGGATGTATAAAGTAGGGATAGACCGATATGGATTTTTTAGGGCCGATGCCGATACCGATTTTTTTCCATCACCCTTAGCCGATGACCGAATATGGACTGCCGATTTTCTTGAGCCGATATTTGGGGCCGATGCTGCTTTTGCTCCCTCAATTTACATAAAAAAAAATGACACAATGATAACAAATATTACAGGTCTCAAGTTTAAAATAAGAAACATTTATTGAACAGTAAAAAATACTAAAACAAGATGGAAAGTTGAGGTAGAACAGGTAGAATATTATTATTATTATTATACATTCAAATAAAAAAAGAGTTCAGTGCTCTTAAATCTTCCAGTAATGTCTTTATAAAATAAACAAATATTTAAGCTGAAGCATAAATAAAACAACAACTACTGTACACAGTAGGATTCAACAGCTTTGTTCAACTTAACCACATACTTTCAAATGAAAAAAGGTGTCAGGGAAAAATAAATCTGCGAACCCATGCGCGTATCGGCTGATGCCGATACAAGTAAAAAAACTCAAATACCGGCCCGATATATTGGCCGGCCGATGTATCGGTCTATCCTTAGTATAAAGCCAGGTTGTTGGCTACCCGCTTGAGCTAATGTTAGTTAACTGCTTCGGTTGTGCATACAAGTATAAATATTTTAACTTATGTCAATATGGAGATGCCATACATCATTAGTTTGGTTAGATTCTCCACAATGCAGTTGTTCAGTTCATTTTACTGAAACCATGAGCACCAGAGACTACAGTAATTCATTCAGATTTACCAGACTGGTGAACAAGAGAGATGGAAAGGACAAAGTGATGACTCCCTACAGCTGAAGTTACAATAACGTAGAATAACGTGTCTAACCTCAATTACCCTGTAAGTTATTCATACACCTTTAGTCCGTAAGGGTCCTCAGATCAAAAGAATCAAAAGGGTTGATCGTCAAAAATAATCCAAGTTGTGAATACCAGGATAAAGTGGTGTTGTGTCGGTATGTCGGATGCTGCAAAATGAGTGCTAGAACTCTCTCTGATGCGCAAAACTCAGCTGAGCAACAGTTTGGTGTGAAAAGAATTAAATGCCTGTCCCAAATATACGCCTGTTGAGTTCAGTGATTTAAGCAAATAATAGCCCGGGCTACTAATTGAAGTTTTACGGTATATCTCCAAAGTCTCCAAATTTTTCAACGTCTGTTTTGTCTAATAAGATCACTTTTTCAATCTGTTCATCTCACTTCAATTGTTTTATTGCAACAAGACTGAAAAAGCAATTGATTTTATTAGCGTAGTAGGCTACCAAAAGTTTAATTTGTATTTGCCATATTTAGAATTTACCTAATAAAAAAATCAATACTTGGTGTCCGTGTATTGATACTATATTGCCACACAAATGATCATAATACTATACTGTAGTCCTTTTGTTATTATTATTATGAATGTATTTTAGCAGAAAACAACAACATGATATCAGTGTTGCATAT